GATCCTGATGTGTAGTTCAGGGACCCTGGATCCTGATGTGTAGTTCAAGGACCCTGGATCCTGATGTGTAGTTCAGGGACCTTGGATCCTGATGTGTAGTTCAGAGACTGGAAGTTGATGGGTAGTTCAGGCACCTTGGATCCTGATGTATAGTTCAGGGACCCTGGATCCTGATGTGTAGTTCAGGGACTCTGGAACTTGATGGGTAGTTCAGGGACTCTGGATCCTGATGTGTAGTTCAGGGACCCTGTATTCTGATGTGTAGTTCAGGGACCCTGGATCCTGATGTCTAGTTCAGGGACTCTGGATCTTATTGTGTAATTCTGGGACCCTGGATCCTGTTGTGTAATTTCGGGATCCTGGATCCTGATGTTTAGTTCGAGACCCTGGATCCTGATGTGTAGTTTGAAACCCTGGATCATGATGTGTAGTTCGAGACCCTGGATTCTGATGTGTAGTTTGAGACCCTGGATCCTGATGTGTAGTTTGAAACCCTGGATCCTTATGTGTAGTTCGAGACCCTGGATTCGGATGTGTAGTTCGAGACCCTGGATTCTGATGTGTAGTTTGAGACCCTGGATCCTGATGTGTAGTTCAGGGATCCTGGATCCTGATGTGTAGTTCAAGGACCCTGGATCCTGATGTGTAGTTCAGGGACTCTGGATCCTGTTGTGTTATTCCGGGACCCTGGATCCTGATGTTTATTTCAGAGACCCTGGATCCTGATGTGTAGTTCAGGGACAGTGGGATTTATGAGTGTTCTCCTGCTGATTCTTCTCTGTGTTCCTCTCAGGTGGATGAGATCAAGAAACTCGGCGGCGACCGGTCTGGCTTCGGTCAGAACGGAGTCTACATTGCAGGGCAGAGGTGCCGGCTGATCCGGGACCAGATGGACATGGATCCCATCTTCGCCCTCGACCTTAAGACCGCAGCAGATGCTGAAGGCAACACGTTTGGAATCTGTGTGGGCAAAAGCAAAACAGGTGAGATCTACAGGTGCACATCTAAAGTTCTCTTTGAGTTCTGGAGTTTTACTGGTGAAGTTTAGTTTTGAACTGAGTTTGACTCTATGTCTTTCGCCCCACCTGTCCCTTGTCTCTCCCCCACCTTTCCCCTGTCTGTCTCCACAGCTGTAGTCATAGTAAAGGGCATAAAAGATGCCACCGGGGGACAGCTGTCCAGCAAGGTGTACAATGTTGTCAGCCACCTCAGGAAGTCCAACATGTGAGACAATATGGCCGCCGCCCCCCATCCTGACCCGTTGGACCCCCCAGAGTTTCAGTAGTTTTGTCCCCCGTACCCTTCAGGTGTATTCTGGAACAACCTGTGTCCCCTCAGTCCTCGGTGACTGTCTGTGTGGCGGCTGTCTGTCGGTGACGTGAACTGCCTGCACACACGTGTTCAAAGCAGGGAGTTCCATGTTCCACAACACGGGATGAACCGTGTCTAATCCCACACCTGAGTTAGGAATAACCAACAAA